CTCCCGATGGACCTGGACACGCCGGGCCCCACCGCCTACCAAGTGCCGGCCGCCGCCCTCCGGGAGTCCTCCCCGCACCCCCGCTTCAGCATCGGCCGCAAGCATGCCGCCCCCGGTGCGTGCCAGCCCACACCCCGGGGCCGCTGCACCACGCTGGTCCCAACACGCTGCCCCTTGCAGAGGGCGGTGGCCGCAGGGCCTGGCAGACTGTGTGGCTGCAGAGCGAAAGCCCCTTCACGCAGAAAACCGATTTTAACCGCGAGCGAAAGGTCGGGAGGTCAGCCCGGAGCCCCGCCTGCGGGGGCGGGCGGGGCGGCAGGAGGCCCAACGTGCTCTGTCTGGCCGGCCGCGTCCAGAGCCGGCCCCAGTGAGCCTGGCTTCCCTTCCAGTTCTATGGCCCCAGGATCGGGGCGCTGTTTGTCCGAGGACTCGGGGAACTCACCCCTCTGTACCCCATGCTGTTCGGAGGTGGACAGGAGCACAGTTTCCGGCCAGGGTAAGGCTGCCCTGGGCCCCAACCTGCAGGCCAGGCTGCCCGCGAGGGGCTCAGTGTCTGGGCGCCTGCGACCTGTGTTGTTGCCCGGCTGAGCCCGGCCGGCCCCTGAGTGCGTCTGCAGCCCGGTGGCCGCAGGGAGCAGCGACGTCTCGCGCTTTTCAGCTGCCTCCAAGCAGCCCGCCCCCGGCTGCGTGGGCACCACCGAAGGGCGGCCCGCAGGGACAGCAGGCCCCCACCTTGCTCCAGCCAGACACAGGGCACCCGCCCCACGGTGCCCGCCCACCCCGGCGGACCCCGTGGCTCCGGGGCCCAATGGCGAGCGGTCGGAGTTGGCTCAGCCCTCCGAGCTGACCTAGTCTGCGGGGGACCCCGGGGGCTCACGAGTCTCCCCTGGGTGGGAAAGGGTGGGAGAAGCGTCCAGACTGTGGGGCCTGCGGGCCAGGCTCGTGCCGGAGGAGCGGAGCTGAGCCCTGGCTGACCCCTCCGCTCTGCCTGTGAGCTGACCGAGGGCCCTCGTCTTTCAGGACGGAGAACACCCCGATGATCGCCGGGCTCGGGAAGGTGAGCGCCCAGGTCCTGCCCTCCCCACGATGCTGGGCCCGGCTGCAGCCAGCTCCACCCGACACCGCCCCCCGGGAGGGCTCCGTCATGAGGTGTCCCCCCATTTCCGAGGCCCGCGAGCCTGTGCTCTGGCCCCCACCCCCGGTCCAGAGTGTTGAGGGATGGGCGGGACTCCGGGGCGGCCAGAGCGAGGGGTGGGGGAGCACAGCGTCCAGGCCAGCCCCAGGGGCCGCCCCGGCACCTCACACTCGCAAGCCCACACGCCTCATGGGGACTCCACGGAGTGTCACTGGTTGTGTCAGGGCCACGGACCCCCGTGGCCCCTCATCCGCTGGCCCTTGGGATGAAGGAGCGCGTCGGGCCGGGGCCCAGCCCGCGGGAGGAGAGCTGCCCGCTGCAGTGCTCACCACGTCGGGCTGGGCAGACCGCTGCCCTCCTTCCATCCACACGGCCCAAGGGAGACCCCCATAAATGGAGCAAGAGGCCGGCCAGCCCCCTCTTTCCCAACCTGGGGCGCGGGGCTCACCCTGGCAGCCCGAAGGGAAGAGCAGCGAGTGTCTCTGGGGTTCCGCAGGCGGGGCAGCTGCGGTTTCCTCATCTGCGGCTCTCGCAGGCAGGTCGGCCCGATGGGCTTGAGCAGGGATAGGGCTTGGGGCGCTGGCCAAGGTTTAAGACAGGAAGGTGGGGTGCAGCTTACCCCTCAGTGGAGAAGTAGCCCCATCCTCAGGTTCTGCCCAAAGGCCCCTCCCTTCAGGCAGGCCTCCAGGACTGCGCCACCAGTGGCCCCCACC